GGCAGTAATACCGCAGATCGTCACTAGGAGGCAAGGAGTCGAGGAACCGAGATAGCGTGATGTGTAAACGGTCGTCCGAACTCGGACCGGTCTCGGCATGGATCGGTTTTTCAAGGGTAGTTTAAATGGGGCTATAGTCTGGCCCCGATGAATGAGACATCGGAAGATTGTTGATGAGAACAACCCGTTGTCTTTCAAACCATGCCTGTGCCTATTGGCCAACGCTCTGACCAATGAGCGCAACTGACTGTGACGTAGTAAGCGCGACAGAAAGCTGTTGGGGGAGTGTAAACAAACAGCCTGTCGGTAAAACGGCGAATACGTCCTTCTTAAAAATGAACGAGCGTAGAGCCTCTTCCTGCTCACGTTTCAACGAAAACCCAAAGTCTATTCCTTCCAAAACTGATTCCAAAGCCGAGACAAAGAACTGTTTTTGCCATCTTCCCTGTTGTGCTTTTTCCGCCCGCTTTGCATCCAGAAATTCAAAACACATCTCTGCGTTGTGATTGGCCCGCCAGTTCTATGGCCTGGGCATTGATCGAGGCTAGACCACTCGCAGGGAAAAATGATTTTTGCCGCTGGTGGGTGGGGCTAGTTTGCTAGGCTACCAAACAGGGGAAAAATATTAGAAGAACCTTCCAGGCTCTCATCTTACCTTATTTTGAAGTTTTAACAACTGAAGTCAGTTAGCCCAGATAAAAACAAGAAAAAAGTACTGGACTATGGTGACAAGCACAATTGAAGTCACAGACAATTTAAAGTGCTTTACACAAATTGAAAATAAAGTGGAAGTGAAATGAAACTATAATAAAAGCAAGTAAAGGCTAACTTTAGCCTTTACCTTAAGGGTACATTTAGCTATTAGCTTTGAAGTAGTCTAGGCTGACTTTAGCAAATAGCTTGGAGCTATTCCAAGCTAACTTTATGCATTAGCTGGGAGGTTTTCCAAGACAAGGCAAGACAAGTTTATTTTTCTGGCACAATTCAGTACAAAGACAATTTAAAAGGCTTTAGATGAGTTAAAATTAAAATAAAGCAAAATTAAACCAAATTAAAAGGAAGTAAAGGCTAACTTTAGCCTTTAGTTTAGGAGTATTCAAGGCAAACTTTAGCCTTTAGCTTGAAGTATTCCCGGCTAACTTTAGCCCTTAGCTTGGAGCATTCCAGGATAACTTTAGCCTTTAGCTTGGAGCATTTCAGGCTAACTTTAGCCATTAGCTTGAAGGTATTCCAGGCTAACTTTAGCCTTTAGCTTGAAGTATTCCAGGCTAATTTTAGCCTTTAGTTGAAGTATTCCAAGCTAACTTTAGCCTTTAGCTTGAAGTATTCCAGGCTAATTTTAGCCTTCAGTTGAAGTATTCCAAGCTAACTTTAGCCTTTAGCTTGAAGTATTCCAGGCTAATTTTAGCCTTCAGTTGAAGTTCCAAGCTAACTTTAGCCT